ACCAAGACACCCCTAGACAAAAGTCAGCCAATTAGGGGTCCTGAACCTTAGAAATCCCTTAGAAATTCTGCTTTGATTAAAAACCCCACTCCAACTGAGCTCGAGACTCTCTGGTCGTGTCATTGCGTTGGACATACGGAGAGTTTAAGTTCGCACTTGAATAAAGGCTCTTTGCTTTTTGACACATGGGACTCGGTCTGTTGTAGTTAAGTCACAGGACCGCCAAAGAAGACCACCACAGAGCTCGTATCTGATGCACACACACTGGGGTTTATCCGTAATCCAACACACGGCCCCGCAGCAGGTAGGGGAGAATGCCCCGAGGCTTCAGGGTAAGGGGCTTTTCAAGACAAAAACTGCAAGGCAGGGTGGCACAAGCCTTGGCGTTTCGGGATTGGGTAAAAGTATACAACTTTTGAATTTGTTGGTTGGAGTAAAGGGGAATTTCACAACAGCCGCTAATCAGATACCTACAAGGACATTTGAAGCAGGCAGATGTAAACAGATGTTCTCTGGACACCCTAGTGGGTGTCCTGGTCACTTTGACCAGGGTTGGCACAGTTTCATGGGAGTGTTTATGACTTTGCTGGGCTGCATTCACCCCCCCCCACTTTGTTGGGTCTTGTGTAAAATGGAGTTCTTTTTCAAAATGGAGTTTGTTCTGCTCCTTCAGATCTCCTTGTGGGTTTTTGGGGAACTCCACAATCTGGACATAACAGTACTAACTACATTTTGAGCTTTCTCTAGCAAGATGGAGCTGAGACAAGTGTCTGGTGCTAGATGTTAGCTACCTGGATGAAGGTATCCCCTGACACAAATGTGATTGGTGGCCACCTGGTGTGGGAAGCCCTTCTGTATGTGTGTTGCTTTAATTGGTTAATGAATAAAGAAGCTGCTTTCGGCCAACGGCTTAACAGAATATAGCCAGGCTGGAAGAGATAAATAGAGAGAGAGTAGGCGGAGTCAGAGACGCCACGTAGCCACTGGCAGGACAGCTGTGCCAGAACCTTACCCATAAGCGCTGGTAAGCCACAGCCACACGGCGATACACAGATGAATAGAAATGGGTTAATTTAAGATATAAGAGTAAGCCAGAAATACACTTAAGCTATTGGCCAAACAGTACTGCAAATAATATAGTTTCTGTGTGATTATTTTGGGTCTGGGCAGCTAGGAATGAACTAACAGCCTTCTGCCTACAGCCACCAGAACTTTTTCCTCCTAAACTGATGTCTAGAGCTGGGTGTGGGGTATTCCTGTAACCCCACTACTTGGGAGTTGGAGGCTCAGACGGTCAAGGTTATCCTTAGCAACATTGTCGAGTTTGAGGCCAGTCTGGGTGACATGAGACCCTGTCTAAAACAAACTAACACAGCAAAATTCCTATCTGGAAGCTAAGATAGTATTCAGGATAACATTTCTAAGTCCCAGTATCTTCAGCCTGTCACTTGAAACATCTCACTTGACTCCGATCTGCAAGTATTGACTCTGCCGGCACTGGCCAGTGGAAGCATCGCCTGGTGAGAAGTCTTTGCTTCGCTACCGCTGACTTGACAACACCGCAGACCCTCTTTGTGTCATTTTGGATGTCATGGTCTCCCTGACCATTTGGACAATTTATTCTATGGAAATGAGATGTTTTGTTCATCTTAAGACCGCAACATGATTTTCAAACTTGCTTTTGTTTAATCTTACTTCTGCTTTGTGTGTTGCAATAAGCAATTCCAAGGTCATCTCATCTCACGTGGCACATCCTTTGACTCTGAGCCCGTCCTCCCCGTGGTGGAATTAGGACCATTTTGGTTAGATTACCACTGATTGTCTAGTTGAGAAACTTGACAGCCTTGTTGGTCCCACAAAACAAACAGGCAAAGCCCAGGGGCTTTTGCTTAAAAATCTTTTTGTTTTTTGTTATATTGAGGCACAGCTTTTCTCCTCCCCCCTTTTTATTGATTTTTGTTGAGCTCTGTATTTTTCTCTGCTCCCCTCCCCGCATCTCCCCTCCCCTTTAACCCTCTCCCAAGGTCCCCACATGAGGCACGGCTTTTCTACATGGCCCAGCCTAGCCTTCAATTTCCTATCCTCCTGCCTTAGCCTCTTGAGTGCTGGGATTATAGGTGTGTGCATCTCCATTCCCAACCCTGCTTAAGTTTTTCTCATTGTAAGGTTTATTGTTTTTATTAAGGAGAGATGTGTGTGTGTTCCCCTGGAGATGGGGTTAGAGCTGGTTGTGAGCTGCTGCTATGGGAACTGAACTCGGAGCCTCTGAGCCATCTCCGGCCCCCTTTGTTTATCTTGTTTATTGTCAAAGTTTTGACTGAACTAAACAGAGTTCTGTGCTCTCTAGTATGAGGAAGTCTCCACATTTCTGACCTTGGTGACATGCATCTGTCTTCTCAGCTCTTGGAAAGTGAGGCAGGAGGAGCGCTTGGACTTCATAACAAGGCCCTAACAAGGTTTCTAAGCTTTCTCAATAATTGACTTCCCTGAGGGTTATGCAATCAGGTAAGGCAGCTTTTTCCAAGCTTTCTCACCATTCGTGCTTACGCTAAGTACTGAAACTCAGTACTCAGTCAGTACTGGGTTTACATGGCTGCACAATGCTGGGACTCCTCATTGCCCTAGTGCCTGGATTAGGGCTGGAATGTAGCTCAGTGGTAGAGCACTTGTCTAGCATGTATGAGTCCCTTAGTTCAATTCCCAGCATTCAAAACAAAAAACAAACCAACAAAAAAACACCATCAAGGGGGCCAGGAGGATCTGGAGACCCTAATCAACTGGTGGAGAACGCCATTCACTGCCAAGGAAACGGACCCCAGTGAGTAATTTGTGAGTGTTTCTGATTTACTATCAGATTTTTTTTCAGTACTGGGGATTAAATTCCAGCCCTCAGGCATGCTAGGCAAGTACTCAAGAGGCTAGTGAGTTAGACCTTAACCCCTGCTGGTAGAGATTTTAACAACGATCAAAGACCAAGTTATGATATGGTTTCTATAGAAACTCTTTTTTTTCTTTTCCCCTGAGACAGGACTTCTGTGTAGCTCTGGCTCTTCTGGAACTCATTCTATAGACCAGGCTGGCCTCGAACTCACAGAGATCCACCTGCCTCTGCCTCCCCGAGCCGAGGTTAAATGCGTAAGCTAGCACTGCCTGGCTGAGAAACGCTTATCTTACCTCTTTTCCTTAAATTATTGGTTGCGTTCACACCTGTGCTTTGATATGACTAAAACTTTCTTTTTCTCTTTTCCAGACTTACTTTTAATTAATTAATTATGCTTTAATTTTGGAACTATTCCCAATCGGCCCCTGAGGGATTTACACTCAGAGGCGTCTCTGGAGTCACTAACTCCAAAGAAAATTTAAGGATGTTCAAAAGTAGTCTCATCTGATCCTGGAGAAAGAATACTCGTATTTAAAAAATACTATGTATCCCTCCGAAATTAATGGCATTTTTCTTCTTTAGTCTTATGTGTGTTCTGCCTGCACTTAACGCGCACCACATGCCTACAGTGCCCGAACAGGCCAGAAGAGGGCACCAGATCTCTTGGGACTAGAGTAGTGTACGTTTCTGAGTCACCATGTGGGTGCTGGAAGTTGACCCCGGATCATTTGAAAGAGCAGTCAGTGCTCTTAACTGCTGAGCCGTCGTTTCCAGCTCCAGGAATTAATGTTACTTGCACTGGGACGAATTCCTTGAGAGCAGAAGCAAACCTGACACTGACTGGTGCTGACAAGGAAGTGCCCACACATGTGGTTGAGTTTAACTGCGTGGGCAGAGGGTGTGTGGTTGCTGGGTTGGGGAGTTTGACTGTGGGTCTCAATGGAAGCTGGTGCTCTGCTTGTCTGGCCTCTGGGAATGCAAATTTGAGGCGACTACTGTTTGCATACAGAGCAGGAAACCAAGCCAGAGCCTGAATGAGGGCGGACGGAGGTCAGGGCAGGATATAAATCTTGCAAAAGGTACTCTTGGTCCACACAGCTCCTGGTCCACAGAGCTGATTCCAGGGTAGGCTACTCGGGTGGAAGTTTCTTGGCTCTTTTCTATCAGGTAAAGTAGTAGGGTGGGGTAGGGTAGGCAGAATGTGGTGAGGGACCATTTTCACACCTATTGCAGACAGACAGACAGACAGACAGACAGACAGACAGACACACACACACACACACACACACACACCCCTGAAGCAAAGGCGATTCGGGGCTAAATTCTTGGTAAAGAGGCATGGGTGGCCTTGGGAAGGTGGAGCTAGGGGATGGGGATCAACATTTGGGAGGGGTATATCCCCCCCTTTCTCTACTCTGTGTGGTGGGGAATGGCTGAGCTCCACACGTTCAGAGGAGGGCTGATTGAGGCAAGCTCCGAACCATCTAGACGTGGGGTACTCTAGGCCGGGGAGTGCCAGGATTGCGAGCCCGGGAGGCCCCTAGCGGCAGGCGTCGGCTTTGGCCTGGCACTTCCTGCCCCGCCCAGGCGGGGTTTGCGGAAGACGAATTTGGCTGGAGGGGCGTGGCCAGCGCTGGCCGTAGGCCGCAAGGCCGGATCAGGGCACGGCCAATGTGTGCAGGAGGCCTCCGGGCGCCCTGGCGTCCGCCCCACCCAGTCCCCTCCCTGCTGGCCCCACTGCCCGGAAGGCTGTAGACCGAGAGCAGCCTGTGTCTGCCTGGCTTTCCGCCTCCCGCCCCGGGCAGGCCCCGCCCCGCATTCCAGCGGTGGGGGCACCGTGGGGTTTGCGTATTCTTTTATTTATTTAGTGTGTGTGTATATACGTGGGGGCGAGCTCGTGCCATGGTACGTGTAGGGAGGTCAGAGAACAACTTGAGGCGGTTCGTTTTCTCTTTCCATCACGTGGGTTCTGGCAACCGAACTCAGATCGACCAGATGCCCAGACGGTCCCCTCCCGGCCAATTTCTTCTTGCCCAACAAGGTTCTGAAAAGCAGTCGCAGGTGTAGGCCATTCACGCACTGCGAGTCCCCTTCCCCAAAAACCACAGAGACAGGATCGGAAGGGGTCTAGCTTTCTCTTTAGTTATCACACTGAGGTGCTGGTCAGAGAGAAGGCACTTAATTGGGAAGAAGTCATCCGATTCAGGCCAACCACACCCTCTCGCCCTTCACTAACTCCCTTGGCACTTGTGTGTGGATCCCCTTAACCCTCATACTCTGGGGAGAGAGAGACTTGAACTCTAGACTCAGCAGGGGTGGGGCGGGGCTGTAGAAATATAAGTCAGTTGGCAGAGTGACCTGGGAGCTGCCCCCAGCCAGCAGGGGGCCATGGGGGGGAGGCTGCGGGGAGTGAGGTGGGGGATGAGTTGGCACTGGACGTGTGGGGACAGCTTAGTAAGTTTTCTTGGAGACTTCCCGAAGCCCACCAGAAGGTTCCACTTCCCGCAGATACTCTGAAGGCACCAGTAAACTCTGAGGTTTTGGGGTGAGACACGGATGAAGCAGACCCCCTCCCACTCAGCTGGCCGGACTAGCTCACTGCTGGGCACAGGAGGTACTCAATACATGTTTTTTGGATGAACAGAATAAAAGGGCTGCGACAGCCAGAAGACCGGGCCTGTGACCCTTCACGGCCCAGCTTGTTCCATTTAGAAAACAGTAGTTTTAAAAATGTACAAATCCTTGCCCTCCCTCCCCCAATTTCTGGGCCCAGGGAAGGGGTGAGGGAGGAGTGTCTATTCCCACCCTCTCCTCGCCCCTTCCCTTAAGAATCTATATACACATATACACATTTATATGGCACCACGGGGGAGGCCTGCCAAGCCCCAGGCTTTGGGGATATTGGGGGCTCAGATGATACAGGGTGCAGCCATCAGCCTTGGACAAGCTGAACTGGGAGTGTTCCCTAAGGAAGGTCCCCTCTTTTACAAATGATAATAGACTTTCTCCCTCTCCTCCCCTTGCAGAAACTGCTGGGGCACCATCATCCCAGGGAGGAAGAGGGAAGGGGAGAGGCTGGTTCCTCCCAGGTCAGCCTAGATCTGAGAAAAGCTGACCAGCAAAGAGGGTTCTATGCAAGGCACTTGGTGTCCAGTTCCCAGACTGGGGGTGGGGGCAATCCAAGGCATGGGGCAGCAGAAACCTTGCCCCTACCCCCAAAGCAGAACTGGGGCTATGACACCCAATTTGGCAGCAGAGAAACATGGCAGCATGGGGAAGAGACAACAGAAGGGGGGGGGCAACAGGCAGGGCCCCCCCCTAGGTCCCCTGAAAAGAGGGGAAAAAGTTTGAAGGCACTGATACAGGGGGCCAAGGGCTCTCTGTCCTCCACGCAGCCTGGCAGGGGAGACACCCTCTTCCCCAGGGCCATGGATATGGCATAGCCCATGTGGTTTCGTTAACAGCACAGGCAGGCTCCCACAGTCTGACGGGAAGAGGCTTGGGCCTCGGTGAGGGGCAGATCCTGGCCCCAAGACACCTCACTAGCTCCCGGGCCTAGGCTGCCTGAGCACTGAGTAGACATCGTCCACACGGCTGAGTTGCTCGAAGAAGGGTAAGAGATCGTGTAGCTCAGTGTCGCTCATGTTGTCAAACCAGGAGGCGACTGGGACCTGGGGGGATGACAGGGAAGTGGGGAGGGCTGGTGTCCAGGGGGCCCCATGGCTGGCCCAACCCCTGCCCACACAGCACACGCGTAGATACCACTAAGCCGTGTTCTCATAGAGACTTAGACTGGCTGTGCTTCCTGTGGTTAGGATCCCAGCTGGGACACACTCTATCCATTCTGTCCATTCAGGCCATGATTGGCAGCTTGGAAACTGCCAGATGGGGACCCCAGTCAGAAGTGAGTACCCCCCACAGGCACAGAGTGAACTATGTGAGCAGGCAGCCCCCCCCCCCCCTGCGTAGGGCCGGGGAGGCCACTCCGGCACATCCCATGCTCCCGTCCTCTGTCTCAGGCCCGGGGTTCTGCGTGTACTCACGGCATTGTCTGGATGGAAGACGTAGGAAGCGGGGGAGTTGTCTAAGATGAGCACCCGCCGCAGGTCGCGGCCCAGCCTGCTCAGGTCCTTTACATAGTTCCCCCGATGGAAGACGCACGACTCTCGAAACAGCCGGGCACGGAAGGCTCCCCATTTGTCCAGCAGGTCAGCTACAGGGTCTGCGTACTGGGGGTAGGAGGTAAGTCATTCTCCCGAGCGAGCAGCGAGCCCAGGACTGCATCTGGTGGCATGCTGGCGGTGGGTGGGAGGGCATGGTTGCCCGACCCCGGGCAAGGCTCACCTTGGCAAGGCTGGCAGTGAATAGTACACACTCAAAGAGCTCGCCCATTCGCTGGAGGAACTCATCCACGTGGGGCCGCTTCAGCACGTAGACCTGGGGAATGAGCCAGTGAGGGAACTGTTGGCCGACAGGCTCGGGGGGGGGGGGGGGGGGGGTAAACAGTAAGGGGCTGGAACAGTAGAAGAGGCGGGGAGTCCATGGAGGCTCCCCCAAAGTCTGCGAACTGCCCAACCACCCCCCTTCCTGAAGAGGATGGAATGTCATTCCAGGGGTCCCACCTCACCTAGTGGGAGTCACTAATCCCCAGACCCTTTTCAACCTTGGTCTTATTTATCCAAATACAGGAGCCCAGGTTAGCCCTCTCACCCCAAGGCTGCAGGGCACCGGCCCCCGAGCCAAGTAATGGAGAACAGGCTGGCCAGCACCACAACCTATCCTGAATTACTTGAACTGGGTCCCGGGCAGTGGGGGCAAGAGGGGCAAGAGGACCCCACAATTCTGCAGGTCTGGAAGTCTGGCTCCATCCCCGGGATACCAAATAGCCCTGGGTTTCACATTCTCTTTGAGCCTTGGGCATTCCCCATCTATCAAAGTTCCATTTGGGAAGTACCTGGGGTGCAGAGTGCAGACACCAATCCCCCCCCACCTCCCTCTGCCCCTCACCTGGTGAACTACCCCATCAATCTCCACGGGGATGATGAAGTCAGCATTGCTCACTGGCTGTGAGGAGAGAAGAATTGCTGGAGGGGGAGAAGGGGGGAATCCCAGGGGTGGAAGTCCAGCAGAGACCTCCCTCCCTGACCAGGGTAGGCCCCCCTGAGACCGCAGGCTGAGGGCTGCTGGGCAGGGCCCACCTTGAAAGAGCTGTGCACTAGGGTCTCGTCGAGGTCGATGACCACGCAGATCTTGTCCGAGTCCTGGGCTTTGGCCTCAGGAAGCAGGTACTGGACTGGGGTTTGCTGTGGGGAGGGTCTGGGCTCAGTGGGGTGCCTCCTACACAGGCCTCCCTCACCAGCTCTCTACCTGAGGACCCAACCAGATCTTCCACCCTCCTCCTCAGCTTGGACCTTGCCAACTTTGGACCAGGGGTAGGCTATATGGATCCCTCTTCCTCAGAAAGTTCCCATTTATACGGGATATAGACTCAGCTGTTGGCAGGGGGTGGGGTTTGACAAAGGCAGGACCTAGAGGGAAGGTGCCTCCCTTTTCTGACCCTTTTTAAGGCCAGCAGGTGTGTCAGGAAAAGTTCAGCCTAGACCCCCTTCTGCCACATTCACTGCCAGCTAGGCCCAGGTGAGTCTGCGGTTCCCTCCTGGCCACCACACACCTTAGGGATGGCGCCATTTTCCTCCACCAGCAGGGGAGCCCCACTGTGGGCAGGCCGAGGCTCCCCATCATCTCGGCAGACACAGCAGAAGAGCGAGTGGAAGATGCCCCGACTCCGGGGCTTCTGGGAAGCTGCTGACTTCTGGTCACCTGAAGCAAGGAGTGAACGTGGGCACACTGGCCTGCATGCAGAGGCTCCACGCACGCTCAGGGTCTCAGCCCCTGAGCACAGAGAACGTGGGCACTCCCCCTCCATCAATGTCACACCAGGGTGCCCCTGGCTCTCTAGGAAATGCCCCTTTCCAGGGGCCCCTGCAACTCTTCGACATAAGGAAATCTGGTGTGGCCAAGAAGGCAGCCACTTTAAGGAATAGGTGGCCTAAAGGAGGGGACAGATGGGGGGGGCTGCTTTCTCTTTTTCCTAGGGTTGATTTTCAATCACCTGACCCCACACCTTACCTGGGCAGCCCCTGCTCATGAACGTCAGGGCTCGGGGCCCCACCGTCCACTCCCACTCTCCCTCCATTCTGTCTACCCCATGAGTCCAAAGTTCTCAGTAGAGCCTGGGCCCAGAGGCCAGTGTCCCAGAGCTGTCAGCCCCGCCTCCTCCACCCCGCCCCGTCTCAACCTTAGACTTGTGCGAGGCACAGGCCTTCAAACTAACAGACACATCCCCGCCCG